TTGGCAAGGGTAATGACAGCAAGCAGCACCTGCTGTTAGGAGTGTGGAAAGGGAAGAGGCAGCCAGGGAGGGCTGCAGAGGGGATTGGTGGTGTGATGCAGGACAGATACAATCACTTTGTCTCAAATTCAGCCCATGGGCTGTAGGCTGCCAATGCCTGAGCTAGGCTATAGTGCTGCAGGAGAAGGTCTGGGGCTCATGAGGGATTCCAAGCTGAATGAGGGCATGGGTACATGAACAAGTTTCCAGGAGACAGAAGAGGCAGGTTGTTTGTCATGCATGAGCTACTTTGCAGTTAATGCTCTTGTGCGCACTCTAGGGGCTGCGCAAAGCTTTGGTAGCCAATTTCAATTGGGAGGAGATTTGGCCCAATTCGGAAGCTGACTTTCCAAATCCGAATTGAATCGGGAGACCCATTAAAAGGTCCAAATTGAATTGGAAGCCTTCGAATTGATTTGGCACTAATTTGAAGATTCAGCAATAGACTAAACAGTCAGCATACCTCGACCATGCTGCACACAGCTGCCTCCAGCTGGTAAGTCTGTTGTGGTGGGTGGAGGCAGGAGGGAAGGAGGGAGCAGATCAATGCTGTGCCCTCCTGCCAGTCGCCCAGCCAGGGCAAGGAGGTGTGGGATGGTGCTGCTGCACTGACTTGGACAAGTGGCGCACAGCGGTGGAAGCCACTCCAGCCTTCCTGCACCTCCCAAACAAGCTGCAGTGTTGCCAAGCTGGGGCACAGCAGGGCAAGCAGCAGGGCATGGGGGTGGGCACATGAACCCAGATTGGAGTGGGGCCAATGGCAGGGTATTTTAGAGTGGTTGGTTGCAGGCCCTCCATGGCCTCCACTTGACTGCACTCTGCAGGGCAGGTGGAGCCAGGGCTGTACTGGATCTGGGCTGGGGTAGTCACCTGGAGCACAGCCCTGGCTCCGCCCGCACCGCGGAGTGCAGCCCAGTGGTGGGTGGCTGGGGCTAGCCTCCTGGAGTGCAGCCTGGCCCAGCCTGCCCTGTGCAGATCCAGGGGCACGCCTGCTCCCATGCCCTCCCGGACCAGCAGCACACAATGGCGGGAGCCCCCCTCCCCA